GGGACTTTATCCCAGACACCATAGGTCCAGTCAGGACAGCAGAAAGACATTCTCCTTGCTCAAGGCAACCACTGGAGCAGTCTGCTAGCAGTTAACCTCAGGGCAGGAGGTCTGAGACGTTCTCCTCTTACTGTTTTTTCATCATTTCTGCCAAGGTCCTAGACCCACTGCCACTTCTCACGTTCCACCCCCAATCTCCCTACCTCTACCCTCACCTCCTCCCTTCAACCACCATCTCCCACCTCCCACTCCCACCTCAACCTCCTCCTGTCCCCCATTCACCTCTACCTCCTGCCTTCCACTCCTGTGTCCTACCCCCAATTCCTACCCCCAACCTCCTGCTTTCTACTCCCCACTTCTTTCCTTCCACCCCCTATCTCCCTTCTACCACTCTCTACATCCCACCTCCCATTACCTGCTTCCAGTCTCCCACTGCCCACTTCCCATCTTTCAATGCCCACTTACCAAAGTGAAAAGTGCACATTTCAACTACCTCTACTGTGTCATATGTGGCACAGAGCCAGATCCTCTCCAGCCTCAGTTTCCGTATCTGTGAAATGCGGCTAGTGAAAAGGAGACATCCACTGCTGGGGGATTGAAAATAAACTTATCCCGTTGAGAAGGGGTCAACCTAGGTCCCCTCCTGGTGGAGGAACCCTCAAGCCTGTGAATTCCAGGCTTGCTCAGGAGGGGCGGGGCGGGCTAAAGGCCAGGTTGGGCGGGGCAGGGAGGCTGGTCGCGCGGGCTAGGGCCAGTGCCAGGACGGCTGTCCCGCGTCACTGTGTCTGCTGTGGCCAGGGCGATGCGGCTCCTGGCATTGACTGTGGCGGTGCTGCTGGGAAGGACCCTGGTGCCGGGTAAGCTGACTGATGACTGGCAGAGCCCTTGCGGAGGGGTGACGGGCCCGGCGGGGGTGGGGATTGGAGGCCAGGCTGTGCTTTCAGGGAGGGGTCCAGCCGGGGACATCGCGGGCCTGGCGGGGCTGGAGGCTCCCGGAGGCCCTGCAGCTCCCCTCTGCTGCTAGTCAAGTGGCCCAGTGTGCACTGTCACTGGAGCGGGGCGTCTTGGAGAACGCCAAGGCTGGGAACATCCCCAACTCTCTAGGAGTGTAGGCTGGTTTCTAGCTCTTCCTGGGGCTGCAGAGCAGCGTTCAGGACGCAGGCCTCGGAGGGTGAGGGGTGTCTTTTCAGGCCCTGAATCGTCTGGGCAGATCCGAGGGTCGTTAGAGCCCGAGTGCCCGAGCCCGCCGCTGCTCTGACTCACGATTTGGTCCCGCGTGCTTTAATATTTACCAGCTTGCTGAACTTACAGGAGAACTGTATAGAGTTATCCTGACAGGGGAACTCCTGCGCAGGGGAGGCCACGCTAACCACACTGATTTCACTGGAGCTTACCACTCTCTCGGAGGTTATTGAATGATAGTTCCTCTTTACCCTCTAAAGCCCTGTCCCACAGGCTGAGGCCAGGCTTGGGGTTCTGTCTGCAAGATGATTGTAATGGTAATTAGCAGCATTAAAGCTCACGTGACTTTGTGTTTAACTCACCAACTGCTGTCAAGTCAGTCCCCACTCACTGACTTTCCATCAGTTTCTGAGGCTCTAATCATCTGGAAACTGCTCATTTTCCCTAATAAATTATGGCTGATTTTGAGAAGGATGGGAACCCCCGAATATTCATTTTGCTTATATGAATCCTATTCCTAGACCAAGAGGCGGTTATGTGAACAAAGCAAGGAAACACTGCATGGGTAAAAAAATCAAGAAAAGTGTGTTATCAGCCCTGTTTCCTTTTTCCATACCTATTAAGCTTGAGAGGGTGGAGGGACAGCACAAGAAAAGAAGACCCTCAATGAGATGGATTAATTCAGTGACTGAGGTAATGGTAGTAGGTATGTCAGAGACAATAAGGTTGACTCAGCATAGAGCTGTTGTACATTTGGGTCGCTATGAGTTGCAGGCAACTTGACAGAACATAACAAAAACAAGAACAACAACATTCGATCTGTATGCTAAAGAATTCATTAGATAAACCAGACTTTATGAAGGGGAGTGTGACATCAGGATTGGGGGAAGATTCTTCAATAACTTGTCTTATGCAGATGACACAACCTTGCTTGCTGAAGGTAAGAAGGACTTGAAACACTTGCTGCATAAGATCAAGGACTACAGCCTTCAATATATATTATATCTCAACATGAAAAAACAAAAATCCTACCACTAGACCAATAGGCAAGATCATGATAGAGCAAAGATTGAAGTTGCCAATGATTTTGTTTTGCTTGGATTCACAATCAACACCCTTGGTTCTTTTTTGTTATGTACAAACCAGTCTTCTGTGACCCATTGTAACTCTGTGTACAGCAGCTCTGAAGCTTACCCTGCCCTGAGCCAGTCTCACGGATTTCAACACACCAAACCCCATTGCCGCAGTTAATGTACCAATCCACCTCAGCCAGGGGCTTCCTCTCCTGTGCTGTCTCTCCACCCTTTCAAGGATGATGTTCTTCTCCAAGGACTGGTCCCTCCTGGCCACGTGCCCAGAGTATGTGAGAAGGAGCTTTAAAATCTTAGCCTCTGTTGTAAATGGGACTGACATCGGGGTTGGGAAGAACTTAAGAAAAGAGGGGATAAATAATGCATACTGCCTTGAAACAGATGAGGGAGAAAACTGTTTAAAAGGGATATATGATTAGGTATTATTGTCATGACAGGAGTCCAGAGTGAAGGTTGCATGGTGGAATGGATTTGGGAGGAAGAATTGTATAACAATGGAAGAATTTTACTTTTCAAAGAGAGGAAAGAACTGGGGCAGGCAGGGAGGCAGGGAGAAAAGTGCAACAATGAATGACTGGAAATCCAAAGTCTCTGTAAACTTTCATTAACATTAATAATAATAAAAAAAGAAGAAGAAGACATCCTCTCCTCCAAGGAGAACCTTGCTTTCATCTTCTCCAAGACAGATCTATTTGTTTTTTGGCAGTCCATGGTATGTTCAAGACTCTTCTCTAGCACCACAACTCAAAGGCTTTGATTCTTCTGTCATTCTTAGTTATTGTTTAGCTCTCTGGATTTGTAATTGCAGAGAACATGGCCTGAATTAGGTGCGCCTTAGTCTCTAGATTGACATTGTTGTTTTTCAACACTCTGCAGAGATCTTTGACAGCAGATTTTAACAGTTTGTCTTCTGATTTCCTGACTGCTGGTACCCACAGTACTGATTGTGGATCGGAGCAAGCTGTAATTGTTTACAACCTCGATTCCTTTGCCATCTATCATGGTTCTGAATTTGGCTAAGTGGGGAGAACTTTATCTTCTTGATGTTGAGCTTCAATCCATATTGAAGACTACAGACTGCAACAGGTGCTTCATGTCTGCCTCAGTTTCAACAAGAAAGGTTGTGTCATCTGCGTAACCTAGGTTATGGATGAGTCTTCCTCCAATCCTGCTGCCACATTCCTCCTCATAAAGTCCTGCTTCCCTAATGATCTGTTCTGCATATAGGTTGAAAAGGTATGGAGACAGGACACATCCCTGTTATACTCCCTTCCTGATTTTGAACTATGCAGTATTTCCTTGCTGTGTTCTGAGACTTCCTCCTGGTCCAAGTACAGGTTTCACATAAACAAGTGTTCTGAGATCCCCCTTTTCCTCAAGGTTTGCCACATTTGTTGTGATCCATACAGCCAAATGACTTAGTATAGTCAATGAAACACAGATTGAAATTTCTCTGGTACTCTTCGCTTTCTGTCAAGATCCATCTGACATTGGCAATGAACCCTGCTTGTATTTCTGGTAGTTCTCTGTCAATGTACTGTTCCAATTGTTTCTGGATAATCTTCAGCAGTATTTTGTGAGTGTGTGGTATTAGTAATATTGTGCCAGCAGTCAATAAATCAGAAGACTACATTGCATTGGGAAAATCTGCTGTCAAGGACCTCTCCAAGTTGTAAGGAGCAATAATGTTATTTTAAGTACTAAGGTGCACCTGATTCAAGCTATGATCTTTTAATTTACTAGTAATGTATCTGAAAGTTGAAAAATGAATAAAATTGATAGCAAAAGAATTGATAACTTTGAATTATGGTGTTAGAGAAGATTACTGAATATACCATGGACTGCCAAAAGAATAAACAAATATGTTTTGGAGAGGAGGATAGTGAAGCTTCATTTCACATACTTTTTACATGTTGTTGGGAGGGATTGGTCTTTGGAAAAGGATATCGTACTTGAAAAGTTGGAGGGTCAACACAAGAGAGGAGCACTCAACAATATAGCTTGACCCAGTGGCTGTAACACTGGGCTTAAGCAAATTAGAGATGTGAATGGCACAGGATGGGGCAAGGTTCAGTTTGTTGTTCACATGGTTGCTGTGAGTTGTACTTGACTAAACAACACCCAACAATAATGAACAATAGCTGCTAGTGGATTTGAACAACTGACTAGCAACCAGACACTGTAAGCACTAATCCACCAGGACACCTGATTTTGTGCCTGATGAGTAGAAAGTCTTTTGATATAAGTAATCTCATCTAACCAGAGCTATATTTCAAAGGAATAGTGACAAAAATAACTGCTTTTTTACCTAAGTGCTTTATAAATAGTTCAGTTAATATGGACAATAACCTCCGAGGTAGGTGCTGTTTTTATCACCATTTTGTAGATAAGATACTAAGGCACTGACTAGTAGTGTTTAGCTCACCTTAAGTCACAGGATTAAATGATAAAGCTGGAATGCAGGAAGTCTAGCCCAAGGTGTTGTGTTTGTATCTCCCATGCTAAATTACTGTGCTTTCTGCAAGTAAAGAACTTGGTACTCCCAGAGGTAAGTAATTTTCCCACCTGGTGGAGGTGAAATTTGAGTCAGAGTCTGAAGATGAGGGACTTGAACAAGGTGAAACTGCTAGATCCACAGGTACCTGGAAATCTATACTGTAGGGACATGCCTCTTCACAGAGGTCATTGATTTGTAACTCCAGTCATATTTGGTCCTAGTCAACCCCCATGGAGTTCACAGAGACCAACAGGGTCAAGTGGATGTAAGGGGCACCTGTGTCCTATGGGAATGTGGGAATTCCTCCACCTCTGCAGGTCCTTGGAAGAATTACCTGAGCAGGTGCCTGTCTTAATTTTCTACTGCTGCTATAATAAATACCTAAAGTAAGAAGCTTTTAAAAACCAGAAATTTCTTTCATAGTTTATTGTTGTTGTTGTTAGGTGTTTTTGAGTTGACTACAACTCATATCAACTCCATGAAAAATGGATCTGAACCTTGCCCTGAACTGTATCACCCTTATCATCTCTGATATACTCAACCCCATTGTTATTCAAGCTCTGTCAATCCATCTTGTTGAGAGTCTTCCTTTCTTGTCTGACCCTCCATCTTTCTAAGCATGATGTCTTTTCCAAGGACTGACCTCTCTTAACAACTTGCCCGAAATATGTGAAATGAAGTTTCAAGGAACACCTTGTTTGCACTTATCTAAAGACGTATTTGTTCTTTTGGCAGTCAATGAGATATTAAAAATCTCCAATACCATGACTGAAAGGTATTGATTCTTCTGTCATCTGTGAATCTTTCTGTCATTGTGCAACTTTCAGGAGTGTAGAAAGTAAATTAAAAGAATATGGCTTGAATCAGATGCACCTTACTCTTTAAACTGGTATGTTTGCTCCCTGAGCACCTTAGAGAGGTGTTTGACAGCAGATTTTCCCAAGGCAATATCTCTTTTGATTTCTTAACTGCTGCTACCATAGCTGCTGATTATGGCTTGAAACAACATGAAATTACTGACAACTTGAATCTTTTCTCAATCTTCATGCTGCCTATTGGCTCAGTGGTGCTATTTTTGTTTTGTTTTTTTATCCATCTTTCTTTTCCTTCCTTCCTTCCTTCCTTCCTTCCTTCCTTCCTTCCTTCCTTCCTTCCTTCCTTCCTTCCTTCCTTCCTTATCTGTCATCATCTCTACTGTAATGCATATTGAAGACTGATTCTTTTTGCCACAAGGGCTTCAAGTCCTCCTCACTTTCAGCACGCAAGGCTGTGTCATTTGCATAATGTAGATTTTTGGTGACATTTCCTCTGATCTTGATGCCACATACTTCATAAAGCCTAGGTTTTTAAATGATAAGGTCAGCATACATATTGAATAGATATGGAGAAAGGAGACAGTTTTGATGTACATTTTTCTTTACTTTAAACTGTGTAATGTTCCTTTGCTCAGTTTAGACAACAGCTATGTACAGATTTCACAAGAGTACAATTAAGTTTTCTGAGATTCCCATTCTTCTCAATGTCAACCATAATTTGTTATTATTGACATAGTCAAGTCCCTTTGCCTAGTTAATGAAACACTAACAATATTCTCAGTTTTAAGCAAAGCTGCATTTGCAATGATCTCCACCAGCAATGATGTCCCTGTGCCATAACCTCTCCTAAATGCATCTTGAATTTCTGATAGTTCATTGTCAATGTACCATTCCAGTAATTTTTAAACACCCTTCAGCAAAGATTACTTGCATGTAATATTAGTTATATTGTTTGAGAATTTCCATATTTTGTTGAACCCCTTTTTTTTGGCAATGGGAACAAATTTGATTCTCTTTCAGTTGGTTGGCAAGGTAAATGACTGTCTTCCAAATTTCTCAGCATAAGTCCAGGGCTGCATCTGCTTATTGAAACATGTCAAATGGTACTCCATCAATTTCTGTGCCTCACTTTTCTCAGTGTCTTCAGTGCAGTTAGCACTTCTGCCTACATTATCATTGGTTTTTAATTATAGTCAGCTTCCCGAAATGATTCTACATCAGAAATATCTTTTTTGCAGTGACTCTGTATATTCCCTTTTTAGTCTTTTCCCCCATACAAATTTAATACATATTTTATTTCATTCATATACAGAGTGTTTCACGCATTCTTTTATTCACATTGTGTTTCATAAGATCATTACCCATATTGTGCCTTATAAACTAATCGCAAATGATAAATGCCCACCATTGCCACCTGAAAAAGGTCCTCACTGGATCTTTCCTAATTCCTTAACCCCATGCTACTCCCCACCAAACTCTGCCACTCTGTGATTTCCTCCCACCCCACCCTCAACCCCCCATCCTGTCCTTTCCCCGCTTTTGACTTTTATGCACATCTTATTAGTTATCCTTCTATTTTTATAATAATGGCCTAACACAGTATTTGTCCTTCTGAGACTGTGCTCTTTCATGTTATGTAATATTTTTCTAAATCATCGCTCCTGAGTTCTGTGTAGTATTTCATCATGTGAATGTACCACAATTTTTCAATCCATTCACTTGTTGAAGGATATTTGGGTTATTTCCATTTTCTTGCAATTATGAATAATGCTGCTGTGAACATTGGTGTACAAATCTCCCTTTGTATCTCAGTTCTATTTACTTTGGGGTATATTCTTAACAGTCTAATAGTTAGGCCATATGGAATTTCTATGTTCAACTTTCTGAAGACACACCAAACTGCTTTCCAGAGTGGTTGTACCATTGTACAATCCCATCAACCGTATATGAGAGTCACAATGTCTCCACATGCTCTCCAACATTTTTAGCTTGTCATCCTGTTAAACTTTGCTATTCTTATTGGGATAAGTTGATACCTTATTGTGGTTTTGTTTAGGACAATTATTGTTTCTCATAGCAATGTTTTATGGTTTTATTTATAAAGGTTTTTGAGTCTCTAGTTAGGTTTATTCCCAAGTATCTCACTTTTTGGTTGGCTATTGTAAATGTTATTGGTTTCTTGGTTTCCTTCTTTGTGTTTTCTTTGTTGCTATAGAGGAATCTCACTGATTTTTTTATATTGACTTTGTATTCTGCTACTCTACTGAATTGGTCTGCTAGGTCTAATCGTTGGTGTTTTGTGGTTTGTTTGTGTGTAGTTTTTTTTTTTAAATCCTTGAAGGTTTTTTGTGTAACTATTGTATCTTCTGCATATAGCAACAGTTTTATCACCTCTTTGCGAATCTGAGGTCTCTTATTTCCTCTGTTTGTTGTATTGTACTAACAAGTACTTCCAATACAATATTATATAGGAGGATTGAGAGTAGACGTCCTTGTCAGTAAGGAAAATGCCTTTAGTCTTTCTCCATTGAGAATCATACTGGCTTTTGGTTTTGTATATATACTTTTCACTATTTTGAGGAAATTCCCAGTCAACACTCTTGGCACCAGCAGTGAGGAAATCAAAAGATGAATTACACTGTGAAAATCCATTGTCAGGAACCTCTCCAGAATATTTAAAAACAATGATGTCAGTCTAGAGACTAAGGTGCCCCAATCCAGGACATGGTCTTCACAATTACTTGCTATGCATCAGAAAGCTGGACAATGACAGGATGACAAAAAAAGAATCGCTGTCTATGAGTTGTGGTGCTGGAGAAGAATCTTGAACATACCATGGACTACCAAGGAAATAAATAAATCTGTCTTGGAGAAGGTGAAATCAAGTTCTTTTTGGAGGCTAGGATTTTGAAGCTCTGTCTCACATACTTTTAGCATGTGGCCAGGAGATACCAGTCCTTGGAGAAGAACATCATGTTTGGAAGGGTGGAGGGGGACGGCACAGGAGAGGAAAACCCCTGATTAAATGAATTGATACAGTAATTGGGACAACCGGGGTAGGTGTGTTGGAATCAGTGAGACTGGCTCAGGACAAGGCAGGCTTCAGAGCTATGGGTCGTTATGAGTCATAAGTCATAACAACAATAACAGCAATATATTGAGGAAATTCCCTTCTGTTCCTATTTTGCTAAGTGCTATTCCTTCGAGAAGGACATGATGTTGGGAAGGGTGGAGGGTAGGCGAAGGGTAGGAAGACCCTCAACCCAGTGGATTGACAAGGTGACTGCTGCAATGGGCTCTTGTGTTTCAGGAAGTGTGAGGTTGGGGCAGGACAGGAGGACTAGGTTCAGACCTTTTGTTCATAGGGTCGCTATGAGTCGTACTCAGCTAGATGGTACCTAACAACAACACATCTGCCCATGTCAATCTAAGTAGGACATGAGTTTCAAAGAATTTGCCCATTTCCTCTATGTTTTCAGATTTATCAGAGTGTAACTTTTCATACTCTAATATTATCAATTTAATTTTGTCTGGATCTGTTGTGATGTCACCTCCATAATTTTTTATTTGAGTTGTTTCTTCTCAATCTTTTATTTCTTTAAGTTTGCCAAAGCTTTGTCTGTTTTATTGACCCTTTTAAAGAACCAGCTCTTGGTATTGTTGATGATTTCAACCATTTTTCTGTTTTCTATCTCACTGATTTCAGCTCTTGTTCTTGTAATTTCCTTTCTTCTAGAGGCTATGGGGTTAGATTGTTTTGTTTTTCTATGTAATGGAGGGGCTGAGTTAGGTCATTATTTTTTCTTCTTCCTTTTTTTTTTGTGTTTTCCTATTGCTATGAATTGCCCCCTGACAACTATCTTAGCTATATCTCAGAGGTTTTGGTATGTTGTATTTTCAATATCATTTATTTTGAGGGAACTTTTAATTTCACTTTAAGTTTGTTTTCTATAGTTCAGTCATGTTCTTGTTGTTGTTGTTGTGTACCATTGAGGTGGAACCAATGCATAGCTGACCTTCTAGCAGATATTTTTGAGGCAGTTAAGTACATGGGAAGAGTTTGCCCATCTTTCCCCTAGAAAGCAGCTGGTAGATTTGAACTCTGTGACTTTGAGGTTGCAGTGCACTCCTTAACAATAGGCCACCAGAACTTCCTAATTGTATTCAGTTTTTGTGTACCATCAAGTCAGAACCAATCCATAGCTGATCCTCCAGTGAGTTTTCAGAGGCAGTTAATCCCAGGAGAGGAGATAAAATTAATGCTCTTTAATTTCTAGTTTTAAGGCATTGGGATTTGAAATGATACTTTGTAGCATATCAATGTTTTTGGATTTGTTTAGAATTGCTTCATGTCCTAATATATGGTCAACTCTGGAGAATATACCATGAACACTTTAGAAGAAAGTAAACTGAAATTTAGTTGAGTGCTGTACCTTTAATATATCCACAA